TACCCTTAACTACTAGGCCAGGAAGCCCGTCCCTAATCCCATATTTTTTTGGAGAGGTTTTTGCCATAGGGCACGTGCGCTCACCAGACAGACAGAGAGAAACAGAGAGAGAAAGCGAGAAATCACCCCCAGGGGAGTTGGCCACGCTGCAATCCCTTCTCCTCCATTCTCCTCTCGGGATCTTGGGCACGCACACACACGCACCCAGTGTGAGTTTTAAGCCACCGGGTCCAGGACTTGAACCAACTACATGGGAGTCCAGTGACATAGCCATTTACGCTAACTGCTGGTCCCCCTAATCCCATTTTTAATGAACATTCAGCTTTAAAAAATAATAGGGGCAGGGGTGGGACCAACAGTTAGCATAATGGCTATGTCGCTGGACTCCCACGTAGTCGACCGTGGTTTGAGTCCCGGACCTGGGAAGTGATTACTTGTTGGTCGGGCGAGCGCGCACGCCCTATAGCAAAAATCTCTCAAAAAAAAAATAACAATAGGGGGTGCCAGGCAGTGACATAGCAGTAACACAACCAGACTCACCATGGGAAAAGAACTGAGTTCACAGCCCAGGACCTCCCTAAACACGCCAGGCACCACATGAACACATGCTCATGATCTGAGACTGAAATGGATCAAGGCATGGAGATTCTGTTGACAGTTCTTGCCTCTCTCTCTCTCTCTCTCTCTCTCTCTCTCTCTCAGAAGAAATAAATAAATATTTTTAAATAATTATTTATTTAATTTTATTTTATGATTTTTTTTTAATTTGCTCTAAGTGTGCACACTTATCAGAGACAGACAGAGGGGGGAAATAAGAAAGCAAGCCACAGGACCAGCAGATGGCATAATGGTTATGTTGCTAGACTCCCATGTAGTCGATCGATCATGGTTCAGTCCTGGACTCATTCTGGGCATCCATGCCCAAGATCCCAAGAGGAGAATGGAGGAGAAGGGATTGCAATATGGCCATCCTCCCACAGGGGAGGGAGGGTGATTTCTTACTTTCTGTCTCTCTCTGTCTTTCCAAACCCTACAGCCAAAACCTCTCTAAAAAAGGAAAAGAAAGCAAGTCACAGTTGGCCATGTGGGGGTCCAGCATCTTAACCAACACACCACCTGCTGGCCCCAATAAATATTTAAAAAAAGAAAAAAAATAGATTTACAAGGAACCTTTTTTTCCACACTAACTATCCACTTAAGCATGACTCATACTCCTCAATTTCAGAATCTCCATTATGCACTTTTCAAACTGTCTGAATTTCAATTGCTTCCACCATTTACTAACAGCTTGATCCTAAGCAAATTAGCCTCCCCATGCTGTAGTCACCTCTTTTGCAAGATGTAAACAAGAGTGGTTTCCATCTGCTAGGTTGCTGTGAGGGCTAAGTGATTAACACATGTAAGTGCAGGGAGGCACCTGAAGGCTGGACATCCTTCCATTCTCTCATGTGTCTCTGGGGCTATACTTACCATCTCACCTGGAGGCAACGGTCAATATGGCTAGGGCCTCTGTGAGTAAGAGAGTGGCCCAAGTGGCCCTCCTTTCCACTTTCTACTCCAGGTTTCATGCTGAGATTTCACACAGAAAAAACATATTCCAGAAAGAAAAACGAACTGAAATGTTTGAAAACTTCTAAGCTCTCAGTGCTTACGAAGGCAGCTCAAATCAAACGTTCGACATCTTAAGTCCTGTGTGAGGCATGCCAGGAGCTCTCTCCAGCAGAGCTTACTGTCCACGGCAGTGCCTTTTACTGTGCTTCCAGGTGTAGCTATTCTTTCCCAGGGAGTCGGCTTCTAGCCTGATAAGGCATAACAAATGAGCTATGGAGTGACAGTCCGGGCAGATGCCCTTCTGCTGGATCTGCAAATCCCTCTATCAGCAATTCATTAAGGCTATTTGGGACACTTCATTCGCTTATCCTCCCGGAACAAATGCTCCTATCCAGTCTTTTTGGGGCTCCTTTAGGAAAATGCAGCAATAATGCAGTATCTAGTTTCTTTTATTGGCATATCAATTAAGCTGTGCTTTTGTTGTTTGTGTAACTACTAAACATGTGCCCACTGGTGATCAGATAAGTGCAAATTAGAGCAAAGCTTTTTTTAGAACGATAATAAACCCAGTGCCGACATGGATCTGGTTAATCCAGCACTCTCATATGAATCACTACATTTTCTTTCCTCTCTGATTTTAGCAATATGTATCAAGTGCCTTACAAATACGCTGACTCAATCATTTTACTTCTGGCTGTACCCTAAGAAAAGAATCCTAAGTATAGAAAAAAAAACCCTTTGTGCCCAAAGATGTTCGTATCAGTGTTATTTACCATAGCAAATCAATCCCACATTTCACACATTTGTTTTAAATAAAACGTTTAAATGAGGTGTCTTCTAATCATTTAATAGAATACTTTGTTGTCATTTAAATTGTGCTTTTAATTATGCTAGCAATTGTAGCACATTGCTAAATTAAAAAGCGATGAATACAAATATAGATTATAGCATGATGGTAAATAGGTTTGAACGCTCTCTATTAAAAGAAAGACAAAAAAGTATAGGACACTGATGAATAAATACTATCATGGTTAAGTCAAGACCTCTGTGAGACAGACAAGATATCAGGGAAGTCTCTCAAAGGATCTGAAAGATGATCGAAAATTATCCAAGCAAAGACTACTCGAGGCAGAGGAAACAGCTTGTGCAAAAGTTCTGAATCAGGAAAAACAGAAAGAAGGAGTTACTGAGGCGCTGGCTATTAAGTGCTAACCGTGCACCAGACAGTCTTCTTTTGAGATGTATGCCCTTATCTAGAACCAGGAACTAAAATTTCCTTGTATGGAATAACGATTGATTTCAGCCCTTGAAAAGAAAGCTCACAAGTAAAAGTCTGACCCTGGCACGTGCTGGGAAATGGTAATAAGAGCCTGTGGAGGAAAGAATCACTACACGTGGGCACTTACAACAGGGCTGGCAAATGGCCAGGAAGCACCTGCGAAGCTGCCCGTGTTATTAGCCATCAGGAAAAGGCAAATTGAAAGCACCATGAGGTGCAACTTCACGTTCGCTAACATGACAGTAATGAAAAGGATAACTGATGTCGGCTAGGATGCTGAGAAATCAGAACCCTCGCACACTGCTGGCAGGAGCAGGAAACGGTGCGGCCGTTTTGGAAAACACTTCAGCTGTTCCTCAAATGTTTAAACATAGCATTTACAGCATTTCAACTCCTAAGTATAAAGAGATGACAGTAACAGAGATAGAGGTAATACCCAAGAGAAGAGAAAACCTACCCATACAAAAGTTGGCACAGAAAAGTTCAAAGCAGTGTTATTCATAAGAGCCGAAAATAGAAGCACCCTAACTCCCCATGATTCTGTGAATGAAAAAAGTATGATGCGACTCTATTGGAATATAATTTGACAGTAACAACAAAAATGAAGATACACCTTGAAATGACTCTGCTAAATGAAAGAAGTTAGTCACAGGCCAGCAGCTGTCCTGGTGGTTAGAGTACTGAATTCCCACATGGCCAACCATGGTTCGAGACCCAGACCTGATGGCTTAAAAATCAGAACAAATAAACAGATCAATAAATAAATGCATAGAAACAAAAATAAATAAGTAAATAAAAGAAGGCAGTCACAAAAGACCACACATTGTATGATTCCATTTATATAAAATCATCACAATAAACCAAGCCATAGAGATAGACAGGGCTATCTGTTGGTTGCCTAGGGCTGAGGATGCTGAGGATGTACAAGGTTACTCTGGAAGGTGATGAAAGTGTTCTAACATCAGTGGGGTGGTGGTTGTACAACCCTGTGAATATACTCAAAGTCACTGAACCGTGCATGTTAAATGGGTGAATTGCACAGTATGAGAGTTCGGCATCAGTAAAGCGATCATAACAAAGGGGAAAAAAAGATTCCAGGCTCATGGGCACATGGCATGTACCAGAAGTACCATAATTATTAAATAAGTATCTCCGAGTACCTCTTTTCTGTGGGTCAATGAGAACTATGAATATGCCGGGTAATTTTCTAAATCAAGGGTTGTGATCTGAAATGCCTGAAAAAACTGACAGAAGCCAGAAAGAGTCTATAAATGCGGTAAGTGGGCCCAACATAAGCAAGTGGGGGAGACTGGGGCAAAATGAAAAGTTCCGAATCGTTGTTAAAGCAATTGGCTGATTCTCAGCCTACATCCACATGGAAATTCAGGCCCAAGATTACTAAATATGACTTTTCAAAGAAAGGCAGAGATCCGATTTTTAATATGAAACCTAACTTTTTTTTTTTTTAATTTGCCAGAGGACAGACATGCTCTCCAGAAAGAGAGACACACACAGTGGAATGGGGGTAAGAGAGAGAGAGAAAAAAAAAAAAAACCATCAAGGGAAATGACCAAGATGCCACAATCCTTCCTCCTCCATTTCTCTATTTTATTGGGATTTGGCACACATGCACATACACACACACACACACGCACACACACACACACACAGATCCAGCATGTTTTTCAAGTCACTGCATCTGAGATTCGAACTGCATGGTTAATACTATGGAATCTCACTCCCTGAACTACCAGGCCATGGGGTCAGCCCAAAAGCACTGACTTTAAAGTGTCAGCACCTATTTTTAAGTATTATAAATACTGAGGGGTCAAAATCTGCTATTCAAACCAACATGTCAGCAGGCAAGGTTTGGTCATTAAAAGCTAGTTGGCTTTTGATGAGCATGTCAGCATGTGCTGATGTCCAAATATATTTGGACCAAGGCACAAATGTTCTAAGCACTTTAGCATGATCTCAAAATCATCCCCAAGCATCCCACTGCTGCTTCACCCTCCACCCTAAACCTAGGTTTATCCCTTACCACCTCTGTCAAGCTTTCTCCAGACTACACAGAGAGATAGAAGAATATACACACACACAGAGTTCCAAAACATTCTCAAAAATGCCAGAGTGAGGAAAGGGAGGCATGGAGAGGGATTTGGAGCACAGTTTTCGATTCCTAATCTAATTAGAGAACCCCATAGCAGATTTTTTTTGTTGTTCAAAGACCAAATTTAATTTAGAATTTTATATCTCCAGTGAAGCCAATTTTTATTAATTATCAGCACAGCATTCAGATATACTGGCCAGAATGCCAATATGCTCTTATTTAGTGCTTAATCCTCTAATGCATTCCGATTAAGTATTTTGGTTTTATGGTAAACTATCTTCAGCCAACATTCAAGCTGGGCACTCCATGCCTCTCCACCCACCCAAACAGTCAGCTCAGGAGGTGTCAATATAATTACTTAAAGAGCTGAATGGTAAAGGGCAAGGAATAGAAGGAAATTGCGCCTGCAATTACACACTAATGCTTCACCAGAGAAGCAGATGGCATTCCTTGCATAAATTATTATTTATCCATGGAATTCCCCTTTGCCTATTACCAAATCAACTCTTTTAAAAAATTCTTTGTTGGGCCTGTGAAGTCCCCTGGCCAGTTTCCAATGTCTGCTCTCTCCCCTATATCCCACCCTGCAGAGCCTCAGCGAGGGTGAGAATCCCAACGTGGCCCACAGGCAGCAGGCAAGGGTTTTTGAAGGTGCTGATGCTCCAAATACATTTAGACTAAGGCACACATAAAGGAGTCCTCATTATTTTGTAGACTGGAGGCTGAGTGCGATGACAGCATGGTTTTGCATGCAGAAAAGGATGAGCAGCCATAGCCAGCCCCAGCTTCATCCTCAACAAGACCTGTAACATCTGGAAGCCACAGGAGGGTGCCCACCAAGGCACGGGGCTTCACTTTTGCTGTACATTCTTTCTGGGCTCCTTGCATGAGGATGAAGACATGCAATAACATTTCAATCTGAAAAAGAAGAAACAAGAAGCTCAGAGATAAAAAGAATATGTCTAATCCCTACAGTAAAATGGCTACCATTTTTGAGGACATACGTCAATTAATCATCAAGACAACTCTAAGGGGCAATTATAGTGGTTGCCATTTTCTACAGATGGAGGAACTGAAACTCGATTCGGAAAAGTAATTTCTCCAAGATTCCATACCCAGTCAAGGGCAGAATTTGAACCTAGGCTCTAAGGGATTCCTGGGACTGCCAAGTCTTGGCAGATTGCCAGCCTATGGTGTTTGCCCTATACACCATCATTGCCTCACCCTTCACCCTCTCACCAAAACAAAAGTCTATTTTGCAAGCATAAATATCATTAACCCACCTTACAAAACTTTCCAGAGGACAGGAAACATGTGCGCTAGCGAGCTCTTGGAAGAGTCCATTTAACTGTACCCAGTGCCTTGACATCATCTTACCTGTGACCCATTGTCATTACACATCACGAAAAGGGTAGGAGTGGGTGAGAAAATCCTCTTTTTTGACTCCTTCCACATTTCCCAGAGAAAACTTGCCCCGGTCATCAGTAACAGCAGAGGGGTCCCTAGTAGAGCAATTGCAGCCCAAGCTGTGGAGTCAAAGGATGCAGGTGTGGAACTAGAGCATGGGATGGTGTTAAGGTGCTGCACACCCACATGGTCTACTGCAGTTCAAGTCCCAGATCTGGTGGCTTGAAACTTACACTGAGAATGTGTACGTGTATGGCTCAAAAATCCCAAGAGGTGAATGAAGGAGAAGGGACAATACAGGAGAAGGGACTATGATGTGGCCAACCCCCAGGGGGGGTGATTTCTCACTTTCCCTCTCTCTGTCTCTGTCTGTCTCTCTCTCCAGCAAGTGCATGTGCCCTATGGAAAAAACCTAAATAAGAAAAAGAAGAGAAAAAAAAAAGGTTCAGGTGCCAATTTACTGACACATCTACTGCTCACCGTGTGAGTCTGAGCAGGCCCCACAGCACCTCAGTGTTCTCTGTCTGGAAACAGAGCATTCATCTATGCCCTAGGGTTACTGTGGAGATTTGCGGAAACAATGCAGAGAGAGGGGCATTTTATATCATTCGGGGTGGGGGGGAAGGAGACGATTCCTAAAAGAGGACTTAATCTACAATAAACTTTTATTTTATCAGTGCTAGTCTATTTTGTGAAAAATGCTGATCATACCTATTGCACTGATTTCATGACACACTCCCAGCGTCACCCCTTCCCATTTGAAAACTCTGATAATGGGCCAGCAGGTGGCACAGAGGGTAAGGCAGCTGGACCCCACACGGCTGAGGGCTGACCACGGTTTGAGTCCCAGGCCTGGCTGCTTGAAAATCTTGTCAGCTGGGACCAGCAGTTAGCATAATGGCTATGTCGCTGGACTCCCACGTAGTCGACCGCGGTTCACATCCTGGACCCCGTGGCTTAAAACTCAGGCTGGGCGCATGTGCGTGCATGCCCAAGATCCTGAGAGGAGAATGGAGGAGAAGGGATTGCAGCGTGGTCATCGCCCCGGGGGGTGATTTCTCACTTTCTGTCTCTAGGTCTCTCTCTGTCTGTCTGGCGAGCGCACGCCCCCTATGGCAAAAACCTCTCCAAAAAAAAAAAAAAGAAAAGAAAATCATGTCAGCTGTGTTCATGTGTATGCCCAAAATTCCAAGAGGAGAATGGAGGAGAGTAGAAGAGATTGTAGTGTGGCCATCCCCCGGGGGGTGATTTCTCACTTACCCTTTCTCTGTGTGTGTTTCTTTCCAGGCGGCATATACACCCTTCACTAGAAACGAAAAAAGAAAAATAGGAAAAGAATAAAAAATAAAATAAAATAAAATAATAAAACTCTGATAGTATGAGCTTATCCCTAGCCCAGTTTCTTTCACCATATTCTCTTTCCTTCCTTTCTTCAAGGAAATCCCAGCCACGATTTCCTCCTGGTGAGATTATTTGTAAGGAAAATAACCTCCAGGGGGCGCTGTTTCAAAGTGTTACTGAAGTACAGTTTGGTATTTATTTTGTTGCACTTGCTTTGAGGTCAATGAGTCTGATTCAACTCATCAGGACTGTCGAAAAACTTAAGCTCCTTTGCTCCAGCCATCTTGAGACTTGGATGATCACGAAACACATGTAAATAAGGTCCCGCCATCGGTGAAACTGAAGCAAGGAGCTTTCATAACTTCTCTCTGTCTTTTGATTAAAATAAGGCTGGACTAGGTGAACCGTGGGCCTGAAATCTCTCTCTAAATCATCCATTCACACTGAACAGTTACTGAGAGCTGACCACGTACCAGGCACTGTGCTGGGTGCTGGTCCATGTACTTTGTGAATGGCACCCAGGGCTTCTGCCATGTGGCGATTTTCTTGACAGATAATAACATGAATATGACACAGTCCACATGGGCTCCAGAAGCATCCAGTCAAGAAGTCAGACATTAAAATCCACAAAAGCAATGAACTGCTATATTTCCTAATATGGAAGAACAAAGGGATGATTAAAACCCTCAAGGGAGCCCAGTTTCCTGGTGGTGTGGCTGCTAAGATGTGCTCTATGGACAGGGACCACATGAAAGGCCCAGGTTTGATTCCTGGTCCAGGATGAAGGCCAGGTACCATGGTGATTCAAGAGGCTGAGGCAGGAGGATTGTGAACTTGAGGCTGGCCTGGGCAACATAAGTGAGCCACAAAATCCTGTCTAAAGATCCAGGCATGGTGACATACACGTATAGTCCCAGTTGGAAGGCTGAGACAAAAGATCTGTGATACAGCAAGTCCTTGTCCAAAAAAACCCGCAAACAAAAAATTTCACAAGGAAATGGATAAGCACCAACTCCTAAAGGAAGATACTTGAAAGGAGTGTGCGGGGGCAATGCCATGCTCTCACATGGAAGGGTTCCAGGTTTGCATCCCAGAACCCTCCTGGACATGGCAGGGACACACACGCACCCACCATCCAGGCCAGCTGAAGCTGGATATGGATCACAGCATAGGGATCCTGTTCAGAGTTCTATATCTCTCTCTTCTCTCTGTCTTTCTCACTTATGAAAAAAGAAATAAACTTTAAAAAACAAAATGACGCTTGAACAGGATTATTAAGACCTAAAAACAAAACTCTCAGACTGGCAGCTTGAGGGCCAAATCGGTCCCACAGATACATTTTGCTTCTCCGTATAATTTTTTAATTAGTCGTCAACATTTTAATATCTGGATTTTTACCTATACTGAAAAACTAGAAGCACTACCGTCAATGGGCCTATATTGCCGGGTGGCAACGAGCCGGATCCGAGTAGCACCTGCCAACGTTACACAGGTAAATGCTCGGTTTGTCACAGTCCCTCCCTTCCTTATTAATCGCCCACTTACATCCCATCAAACCTCTGTAAGTATCTGAGTTTGTAACCCTTGATCTAAAATGTGTAGGGGGAAATGTGGGTTAGTAGCCAGAAAGAGTATCCAAAGAAAGCTATTGATCTACGCTTTGAAGAAGAAGAGTTTTTACAATGTCCAGACCAGCTCCCCAGTGCAAAAAAAAAGCAGGTGCAGATTCCAAAACAAGCCTTGTCTAGTTGGGACTCAAGGTCCTGCCTGTGGCCGGCTTTCCAGAACTGCACCCTGGAGGTCAGCTATGGGGTAGCATAGAAATTCAATTAAAAAAGAGGAAACCCTGCATAATGCCTTAATTTGTGTTAAGTAGGAACAATGCCTAATTCTGCCTGCCAGAGCTTTCAGAATTTTGCTTTCTCTGAATGAAGTGATCTATAAAATGACAGACAGTTGGATCACTAAGTCAGTCTCACAGCAGGTGGAGACAGGAAGGGGATGGATTAGGAATTAGTCACCAAACATGAGATAATCTCTTTGTAATTCTAGACCTCAGTTTCTCATCTGTCCAATGGCAAGAATTGTATTAGCCCACAATTTTTCATGCTTGATGAAGTGATAGAAGAGACATATTTCATGGAAGTCACTATAAAACACCATGGAATTCTGATACATTAAATTTAAAACAGCTCTGTCCAGCTCTGTGGCCTAGTGGTTGGGACAGCCAGATCCACAAGGGTGACCCTGAAGCTCAAGTCCTGGACCCAGTGGCTTGAGAAACACACCTGGCACATGTGTATGTGTACCTAAAGTCTCCAAAGAAGAGAAATGGAGG